ACACACACACACATGCAGGTTCTGAGTCACTAAGGAAAGTCCTGCTCACCCAAAGAAACAAAACCGTGATAGTTCTCCAGCATCACTTCCCTGTAAAGGGCCCTTTGAGTAGGAACCAACTGCTTTCACTCATCCCTTGAGAACTTCATAGCCACATCCTTAAACTTGATCGACTTCTGAAAAGACAAACATATTCTTCCTCACTTATGGGTCTTCTTTTATGTGTCACCGAGGAGGAGGAAAGACTACATACAGCACTGGAAGAGAAATGGAATGGAAAAGAAATGGTTTTGATGATGTCAAGGGGACCAGGTATTTGAAGAAAGAGGTACAGGTCTGTGACCTAAGTCCTGAAACTCTTGGTTATGGCCTCATGTCATCATATTCATGACAGAGCCTCCAAATTTCAGGGGCACTGTTACATAGCCTCAGTTTTTTAAACTATAAAATGACAGAGTTAAATAATTTTTTAAGTCCCTTCCAGCTCTAACATTTATGGACCCATGAGATTTCAGTGTGAACAACTGGTTTTCAAGCCAAGGGAAGACCCATGATGAGTGAAGTTGTAACAGGATCCTCTGAAGAACTGAAACTGGAGAAATGGGTTCAAAGATACAGCACTTCTTTAAAAGGAAGTTACATCCTGTCCAGACCAGAGGATTCAGGGTGTTTACATTATCATGAAATTTTAAGCACCCCCTGAACCACCAGGCACATTGCTCAGGACAGAGCTGCCTCAACCCTCCGCTCCCCAACCATTACAAACTCACAAGGGGGCCGGTCGCCAAGGCTTGATGAAGGGCCACTCACAAGGAAGGTCCCTGCAGCTGGGCTGCGTGGTGAGGAAGGAGAGAATCCGGAGCCAGACAGGGTACTTGTGAGTATTCTCTGCGGAGGCCATCTTCCACCAGATGAGGCCCGTCTCCAAGGCATTCACTGTCTGGCTGGCAGGGAAGCTTCAGATTGAAGTCAGTCCAATTCACCTGCCATGCGGCTGTTAGGGGCACAGCTGCCATTCTCTCCTCATCGGTGTTCTCTTGGAAAAGGCTGGGACCAGAGATGGCAGAACTAGACAAGGAAACATGAAGAACAACCCCATTTTGCAGGTGTGTGACCCAGGCTGAAAATCTCTACTTAACAATTAGGTGTGAGACAGCCCTGACTCCCAATACCCTTCTAAGAGCGAAGCAAATCTGGAAGTAAACTCACCCTTTCCCAGGGGATGGATATTATGAATGTGCCACAACTCTGTGCCGGAATTGGCGGAGACAGGGATGACAGCCAGGCCAGACCTACTGCTCTAGAGAAAGTAGCTGTCCTAGGAGCAGTATTTCAAGGTGAGTGACAGGCAGCTATTATTCTGTCTCTTGAGCTCTGCCAACCGCACATCACACTTTCCAAGGAAATCTCTTCCTACAACTGCACATTAATAAAAAATGACTCCACTTTCTGGACAAAGCTGACTGGCATCTGACGCAATTACAGTCCTCCTCCTGGAATTTTGAAGTAGAACCAAGAAGAGGTCAGTCTCTCACAGACATAGAAAACAAACTTATGATTACCAGGAGGGAATGGGGGTAGGAAGGAATAAATCAAGAGTTTGAGATTTGCAGATACTAACCACTATATATAAAATAGATAAACAAGTTTCTACTGTATAACACAGGGAACTATATTCAATATCTTATAGTAACCTTTCAGTGAAAAATATGAAAAGGAACATATGTATGTACATGTATGACTGACACATTTTGCTGTACACCAGAAACTGACATAACATTGTAAACTGAGTATACGTCAATTAAAAAAAAATTACACAAAAAAGAAAAGGTCAGTCTCTTCTCATGAAGTTCCACTTGAGGGCAAGAAAACTTAGGAGCCCTCAACAGCCACATTTTGTCATGCCATCCGAGAGCAGGAAAGCCAGTTGGCAGTAACAAGAAAATATCAAACATCAGTATATACGTAAGTAGAGGCAAAGGGTTACAAGAAGGTCCTGAATTTCTTCTGGCCCCTGGTTCAAGTTTACAGACACACCTGCAGTCTTCTCCTTGGGTTCCAAGACCCACAAGTATCCTCGAAATGAATCCCCCTGATACTACTTTGAGCTAGGTTCCTTTAAGTTGCAACCCAGGGACCTAAGGCAGGTAGCAAAACCTCCCAGTTCCCTCACTTGAAGCTTCATTGTTCATGTTCTGCTACCAAGATCTCTCTTCTTAAGAGTTCTTTTGAGGTCCTGGGGATACACAGAAGAACACAGCATCCAACATGGCTCACAGAACCAAAAAGTGGGCATCAGTCTTAAGAATCTCATTTCCACTCCTCTACCAAATGAATCCACATCATGAAGTAAAGAGTCAGGGTCGTTATCTTCCTTGAACTCTCAGATTCTGCCTCAATCGCCTAATATATACTATCTGATACTATAGTTATTTATGTTTTTGTTTTATCTTTCCAAGTCGATGATGTCTCTTGGGAGCCAAATCCTGCTTTCCTCATTGCAGGAAAGCTACTTCCACATATCTGGTACTCAAGAAATAATTGCGGACTAATTGAAATACCAAGTTTTGCAAGAAACTCTGGTTGGTTTGGAAAGCGGAACTGAAGCTTAGAAGAGGGAGCGTCTTTGCGCAGCTGCAACAGGCCAGGTGGAAGGCGTTGAGACCCTGGGCCAGGCCCAGGGAACCCAGAGAAATGAACAATCTGAGGTGCTTTCCGGGAAAGATGGATCAGCAGGATTCAGCAGAGTCGGTTCAATCTAGGTGTCCGAGGCCCTAGGTCGGGTTAGCTGCGGAAGGGCGGCACAGCGAGCTTCGGTCAGGAAGGCTAGGGGAGGAAACGCGCCATCCCACCCCGGGGATGAGCACAGCCGAGCGCGGCCTGGGCACCCCAAAGCACGTCATCTAACACTCTGGAGGCCAGGCTATCCTGATCTCATTTCACCTCGCAGCCACGTCTTCACCCTGAGTGGTGCTGGGCTCGCAGCTGGCGCCTCCTCCCCTGTGTGCAGCGGACTGGTTCAAGGTTAGCCCGGGGAGCAGCGGCCAAGGGGAGTTCAACACTACCTCATTTCCGTTCCGACCTCACGCGGTGGCGCTAAGCATCCTTCCCTACCTCCCCTCCCCTTCCTCAACACGTCCCTCCCCCAGCAGCCTCTCCTACCACACCCAGTCCTAAACCCTCACCTTGGGGGCCAACCGGCTCGCTGCGGCCCCGTATGGCTCAAAGACCGCAAAGCGCCTGCGCAACACGCGCCCTGAAAACTACGATTCCCAGAAGGCCTCGAGGGTAAGGGGAGACACCAAGGCCACGCCCACTGCAGACGCCCCGCCCCCTAGGTACCCACGGGGTATTCCAGAGAATCATTTAAAAGGTGGAACCTCCTCACTTATAGTAAAAATGGAGGCAAGCCGACGATTAAAGAGCCAAAGCAGCCTCATAGCCCTGTTTGCCTGCCCTCGCTGGACTCGCTGCCCTACCGCGGTTGGCTCTGTTTCCTAGGCAGCTTTCTATACAGTTCTCCAGAAGGATGTTTTTAAACCTTTTCTATTCCCCTCAGGTACCTGCTAATCTTCTCCCTCACGTGAGGAAGAAGCATCAGGGAGAATTTTCATGCTTGTCCGTAATCAAATCTACAACTTTGCCTTTTTTCACGTCCGTTCTTTCTGCCCTCTCTAATTGAAACAATAAATCTGGGCGTTGCAATCGTAACTGTCAATAACGCAACTCTTAAACTTTAGCAAGCTGGGGAAGTATTTTGTTACCTATACTTAAAGAATCCTGATAAATATTCACGTCTCTAACATTTTTGAAGAATTCTTCCCTTAGTCTCATATCCCCCTCCAACTGCCATTCTCCCTCTCTCCTTATCGAAGCCAAACTACTCAGCATTGCGGACACTTGCTATTTTTACCTCCCACTTCCCATTCATTCCTTAACTAATTCATTCCAGTATGGCTTTGGTGCCACCATCCAAGTTACCAACAAATGTCAATAGACTCTTTGTCCTTTTTGACCACTTGGCAATACTGAATGCTTTTTGGGCAACATTAAATGCTTTTTGACTATTCTCTTTCTTGAGTCTTTTAAATTCTGTGACATCGCACTCACTTGGTGTTTCTCTTGCCTCTCCATCCTGTTCTGTTCACTCTGCTTTCATGGGCTCTTCCTCTCTTCATGCCCCTTTAAATCTTGGTGTTCCCCGAGACCCTAGTCTCTTCCTACACTACACCTTCTCCATGAGCAGTTTCCTTCCATTCACGTGGTTTCAGATATCACCTTTATATCTAAGATCACTGTTTTCAGTTTGTCTGTCTACAGAACATTCCTACATGTTTGGATAGTTCACAAGCATCTCAAGCTCAATATATTCAAATTAATTCATTCTCTACACTCACATGGAACACCTTGGCTGCACTGCCTCAGATATTCTTGGTCTTAAACCTTAAGAATGCTGGCATGCTTCCAGTTTAACTAACTTCTGACTCCAAGATTTGATCCTACCAATGGCCATTTGGTGAAGCTAAAACCTCAAAATTTAAGGTCTCCATTAATCCATGCTGAATTGAGAGGTATCAATTAAAAGGTAAAATGACCCTTTCCTCAGAATTTTTAGAAGATGGAACAATACTTCACCTTTTAAAAATGCTCTTCAACATCACCAAATTTTAAAAGAGAACAAATGGAGAATTGATGAATTTATGTTCCCACTCTGTTTCAATTATCACTTTACTCAAAAGTCCATTCGAATTCTAAATTCACTCGAGCCTCAGCTTGCTGAAAATAGCAAAGTATCTTAGGGAAATACTTGACCATCAATTTACTTTTAACAAGGCAATAAATAAGATTCAGAACTCTCAGAGACAATCATCAGCCAAAAGTTTGTCAATAGTTCCTTTTATTTTCTACTTGAAATTATTAAATAATAGCAGATATTATCCACTATGATAGATTCTGCACTGTGTTTTTCCTCAAGTTGCTTTGAAAGTCCACATGTGAAAAGTCTTCCCTGCTGCTCATCTGCTCTAAGACTGATCAATAGGGTTGTTTGTATGCTGAGGATCTGTTTGGCAATCCAGTTTCTTGAATCAGACTTTAACTCCCAAGGAGAAATGCATTTTGGTCCACTTGGATTCATGCAGGGAGAGCTAAGCTCCAGACAGCCTTTCAGAATCAAGTCCTCTTCTGGGCATCACCTTAAGCCAATAGAAAAGGAATGCAGATGCCTAGAGTGAAAGTTTCCTGATGCCTGATCTTCAACAAAATAAAAATACATGGCTGGGCCCAGGGAACAGAGGGTTTGGGAAGTTGGGACTTCAAGTTCAGCAATGCAGGACCACGTCAAGGCAGACAAATATTCAGGGACATGTTCACTAAACAGGGAGCTTCTGTAGGTCTTGAGTAAAGCAATGATGGGCAGGAAAGGGGTCATTTGAAAAGACTGGTCTAACAGTAATATGCAAAATGTAACTGTGACAGAGGCTGCTGCTGTTAACCCAATATTGAGGTGCCTGTTTACTTTCCTAGCCTCTTGGTGCTGGGGTCTGGTGTATGAGATATAAACAGAAGTGATGGCCCTTAAAAATATCCTAAAATCTCCTCCAGATTTCTCTTCCATGATGACCCTGGAGGCAACATGTTCTAAATGATAAGGATGAAGCAAGACAGACTGACTCACATCAGATTCTACATGAGAAATGAATCTTTGTTTATTTGGGGCTTACTTGTTACTGCACCATAGCTTAACACACACCTCCTCAAAAATGAAGAGGAAAGAATCTGAAACAGGGAGTGACTCCTGCAGTAACAGGACCCTGAGGTGATAAAGGTACAGGCCAGACTGTGAAAACTCAAGAGAAACGATGTGAATCTAAGAGGTGTTTTAAATAGAACTTGGTAAGTCAGAAAGTCATTACTTCAGTTAAATGTTTATTGAGCACCTGTTATTTGCAAGGCACTGTGTGAGACACAAAGACATCCAAGTCACACCTCCAAGTGCTTACAATCTGGGTGAGGAGACAGTACCTGTATATAAATTATAAACATTATAGCATAAAATGGTACAGAGAATAGACTTTGAAGGGAGACCTGTATTTACGACCTGGCTTCACTTTTGACTAGCTGTCACCTGGGGTAAGTTACTTAACCCTCCAGACTTCAGTTTGCTCACCTGTAAAATGTGAGTAGTGACAGTACTCATGAGCGGGTTGGTGAGAGGACCAAATAATCTACTCCTTACAATACTCTCAGCTGAGTGCTTGTCCCATAATAAGCACTCAGTAAGTGCTAGCTAGTGGTGGTGGCAGTATTGGGAGATCTAGAAGCTGGGAAACAACAGAATGAGGTCAGTACCCAAAAAAAGCTCCAAGGGAGAGGGACTAACAGCTACAAAAAAAGAACTGTTCCGGAAACAACAGTACTGCTCTGGCACAAGGCTGCCTTTCCCCACCTGTTGTAGCCTCCAGTTATTTAAAGTGCAGTGAGACCTGGGGCCTCGGACAAGAGGTGTGTCTGAGGATGGCCTCCTAACGGCGATCCCTGTTGTCTGACAAACTTCTGCCAAGTGTTGACTCTTTAAAGTCACATCCGAATTTCTGGCATCCATCCCATGTCAGCTCTATCACACAGTGGGTAGAGGGTGTGCATTCAAACACTGTGGCAGCAGAGGCAGGAAAGGGGAGCAGCAGCCAGAACACACAGAATGATCAGGTGATGGGTTTGTCTAAGCTGGGGAACCCCCATCTTAAGTTTTCATGGGGGTCCTGTGACTAAAATTTTTGCCCAACTCAGTCTATTCCCTGTTTGGCATAACGCCGCTGGTGTTGAATAACTGATGATTTAGAACTGAAAACTTTCCCACACACGCTGCATTCAAAGGGCTTCTCTCCTGTGTGAACTCGCTGGTGTCGTGTAAGCCGGCACCTCTGGCTAAAGGCTTTCCCGCATTCACTGCATTCATATGGCTTGTCTCCAGTGTGAATCTTCTGATGCTGTGTAAGGGAGGAGCGGTCAAAGAAAGCTTTCCCACACTCACTGCACTGATAGCGGGGTTCTCCGGCGTGAGCTTTCTGATGTCTGTTCAGAGAGGAGACGCCATAGAAGGCTTTCCCACACTCGTTACATTCATAAGGCTTCCTGCCCGTATGGATGAGCTGATGTCGAGTAAGAATGCTTTTCTGGCTGAAGGCTTTCCCACACTGATTACATTCGTAAGGACTTTCTCCAGTATGAATTCTCTGGTGTCGAGTGAGGGACGAACGGTCAAAGAAGGCTTTCCCACACTCATTGCATTTAAAGGGCTTCTCCCCAGTATGAATTCGCTGATGTACAGTTAGGGATGAACGGTCGAAAAAGGCTTTCCCACAGGCACTGCACTCGTAGGGGCTCTCCCCAGTGTGCGACATCAGGTGCCTACTGAGACTGCTCCTGTGACTGAAGGCTTTCCCACACTCAGGACAGTCATAGGGCTTTTCTCCAGTGTGAGTCCTCTGGTGGCGGATAAGGGAGGAGTGGTCAAAAAAGGTCTTCCCGCAGTCACTGCATTCCTGGTCCCGCTCTTTGGTGAGAGTTTTCCTGGGAGGGGCTGACCGGCGCCGCAAGCCTTCCTCCCGGGAAAGGGACTTCTTGCAGGCCTCCGCTGCAGGGCTTTCCTTCTCTGTTTCCAACCCACCCTCCAGGGCATGAAACTCCAATTTAGGACACAGAGGACCTTTTCTTCCAAGCTTTTCGCTCAATGGTCCTTCTGATTTTTCTACTTCTGAAGGACCTTGAATCTCAGGCTTAGTCTCCCTGTCTGGAATGGACAGAAAACACAGATGCAGTTTCTTTTCTGGGCTAAGAAATGTTACAGCAGAAAGAAGAGATATCGTGATAAATCTGAAAAGTAATGTACAGTTGCTGCATCGCCTGCTCCCACAAATAGTCTTATACTCTAGGGAGAAACCAAGACTTGGGACTGAACTGACAGCAGGGAATAGAACTGATGGTGGAAATCTCAGAAAAGGGGAGAATTTCTATTGGGAGCGTGGCCAGGTGCCGTAGGAGAGCCGGCTACATGGAAGGGATGGTGAGGCACAGGAGTATCACTGTGTGAATGGGCAATGTGACAGGTCTGAGAAAGTGAACATTCGGTGAATAAAGGTGAACAATACTTTAAGATGCAGAGGGCAAAAAAAGAAAGTTGGTGGATGATAGAGAATAAACAATTAAGATTTGAATTTGAGAAAGAAGTAGTACCCAATACTTCCTCCCACTCACACCTAAATAACCACCACAAAACAAAACAAAACTCTGCCCTGCCCCATTCACACTCAATTACCTAGAGAGACATTCTCTGTACACTCTGTCCCCTCAGATCCATGAAGCTCCGTGATCCAAGGTGCATCCCCTCTCTTCAACTGGAAAATCACATCCGGTCCAGGCACTGGAAGTCCTGTTCGTGGAGAAAAAGACAAGCCAGGTGGTCGCAGGTGATGAATGCACACAACTATCCCAAAGCTAATCCCAGCTTCTGAGTCTTTCAGAGAGAAGGCGCACCAGGCAGAAAGCGCACACCAGGAACACAGAGCACAAAGTAATGTAAGGAATGCAGGAACCTCTGAATGGAGATCAAGACAGAGGTTCTAAAAAGGAACAAGCAGCGTCCAGTCAGAGAGTTGATGGAATCTGTCTGAATTAATGTGTTTCTTCTTCCCCAGGAAGTGAGCGAGATGTTCCTAGCTTTAGCACTGATAGGACTGCGGGGAAGAGTCCTCATCTCAGGGAAGGTGAGAATGAAAAAAGATCACCTTGAGTAAAAATGTGTAATGAAGGTGCCCATTTCTGTCTGTTTATCCTTTAGTATTACGGTTTCACTTAAACAAGAGGATCATGTTCATTATAAGAAAACTAGAGGCATATACAAGGAAAAAGAAAAATCACCTTTTGTACTTTGCATTCATTTTTTTTCTTTCTTTCTTTCTATTTACTTTGATACTGAAAGATACCTAGAGATACATTTTGTTAAAAACTGGATAATGACAATTATATCTCAATTTTTCAAAATAAAAAAAAAACTACTGGAGAGCATTATTTGGAAAATAACTAAGGCTACCCCACCTAAAATCATTCATATTTGATTTATTTTGACATCCTAAATCCACTACAATTCACTATATATAATACAAGTCACTCCAGTCCCTTTTAAATGTAAAAGATCATTTTGGGCAGAAGACTCTCAATTAAAAGAAATAAAAAACAAACAAGTAAAATGAAATGATGCTGAATTTTAAACTTGATTTTTTTCACATGATAATACATTTAAAACATTTTATTTCAATTAGCACACCTACCTCACCATTTTAATGGCTACATGATGTTACATTGTATGGAACAACAGTTTATTTAATCTCCTGCTGACAGAATTTCAGACTGTTTTCAATGCTTTGCTGCTAACAATGTGATGATGAGTATCTGTGTACACCATGGGCTGCTAATCTTATTATTTCCTTAGGACAAATTTCTAGAAGCAAATCTGTTCATTTTTGGTTAAAAAATAGATCCCCTCCTAGAAATAGTCTTGAGGCCTAAAATTCCGTTGCATTGGGACCCCTGACTTGGGAAACAGGGGTACTTTCTTATTGGGCCCAAGGATCACCCATCCAGCTGTAGGCTGACACCCTGCTCAGAAAACGGCCACTGCCATCACCTCCCCATGGCTTCCTCTCTCTGGCCTTGGGAATTCTATTTTCCCCTGTATTCTGTCCCACCAAAACCTGTGGCACAGCCTCAGCAGTCCCCCTAATGCCCCATGAACATTCTATTCTATTTCCATGTTTGACCTGTTAGAGCTAATCCAGGGGTGTTATGCTTGCTTTTTTGACCTGCCTTCCATGAAATCTGCAGCGTGACTCCTTTCAGACACCTGCTGCTGATTTTAAGTCTGTTCTGAATCTGCACACTCTCAGCCTCTCATTCTGGAAGCTCCTGAGAGGTTCTCATTACTCGCAGGAGCCCAACTTTACTCCTCCTGAATACCTGACATCAGCAGAAGCTCTAAATTTTCCTTTTGTCACACAAGTCTCTACAACTGCGAAGTGCCTTCCGTGGGCATCTCTCTGAGACTGTCCTTAAGACAAATAATCAAAATCAAACACATTTCTAGTGACCTTCTCTGAGGCACAGTCTTATAATCCCACCCCTACATGGTCCTCTTTTTAAAGGGAAACACTTCTTTCCCCCTCCTCTGCTTCTCTGAGGAGAAATTGTCCCCCGTTGAGATGGCCCCTCACACCCATCTCCGCCCCTCAGTGCTCTGGATGGAGCTGAGTAAGTTACTGCTGAGCTGGGGAAGAACCAGGTGTGTGTGACTCAGCCTCCTCTCCCCCTGGAGAGCAGGCCCATTCCATCTGGAGAGCAGCTCCCAGCAGCAGCTCTCATGCTCCGCTCCATCGCCCCAGCCCACCGTGTTGCAGCAAGGGAGCCTGCGGCTGTCCAGCCTGCTTACAGATCAGGAAGCCAGCCTGTCCCGTGTCGGGGTTCAGGACTAAGAAACCCACTGGAAGCCATGTCCTTCTGCTCTCCTATCTTGTCTCTCAGGGGTTCAGACTCAGGTGGGAGAAGAGGTGTCAATTTATTAGCCTCCCAACCCCACATCAACACAATACAGAGTCTGTTCCGTGTGGGAAGTGCTCCTTACCCAACGAGACAACGCTCTTATAGTTCTCCAGCATCACCTCCTTGTACAGGTCTCTCTGAATAGGGACCAGACGCCTCCACTCTTCATCTGTGAAAACCACAGCCACGTCCTCGAATGTCACCGGGTCCTGGAAACACAATCACATTCTCCCTTATTCATAACCCTTCTCTCTACATGGACCAGACCAAACTGTCAGAATGACAAGAGCCTGGAGGATGCAGAGGGAGTGGAAAGAAAATGGTTCTGACAAAGTAGGGCTTTGAAGCATCTGGGGAAAGCGCCAACATCCCCCGAGGCATGACATTCTTGGTCACAATTCTACACTGTCTTTGCAGCCGGGCCTCTGAGCATCAGGGGCTCTTCTGCCAGACTTGCAGAGAACTTGCAAGAACAGAACGAAGACCTCCCGTGTATCCTTTCCCCAGCTTCCCCAGATGTTAACGTTTTCCACACTGGCTTTATCTTTCTGTCTCTCTTGGTATCTACACATTCACCTGTCTTTTTCCTGAAATTCTTGAGAGTAACTTGCAAACATTAGGTCTCTTTACTCAAAAATGTTTCAGTGTCTATTTTGTAAAAACATGGAAATTCTCTTGCATAATCACAGTGTAACTGAAAAAATCAGGATAGCACTGATATACTATTATCTAATCTATAATCTTAGTTAAATTTCATCAATTGTCTTTTTTTCTTTTTACAAATCCTTCAAATAATGGCGTTGATTAGATCATCTTTAAGATCACTCTTATGTTCTGTGATTCTGCAAGACTGCATCTTGACCTCCAATCCTAAAACCCCACTGAGTCTCCTGCGTGTCTGCAGAAGTTCTAAACCAGAGTGTGGACTTCAGGACTCTCTACCCTTGGGCGAGAATGGGGTGACCGCGTGTCTCTGCCCACACAAAACTCTCTTCAGGACTCCTTCAGCCTCACTGAGGCGCTTCACAGCACGAGTCACATTCCCCGCCTAACCCATCCTCCCTGCAATGTGGGGGCCTACTTTCAGTCCATACATGGAGGTACTAAAGGGAAGTCAGGACTAGAAGCAGCCCGCTGTTCCCCAAACCTTCCAGTCAGACACATACCACTGGTTTTTAGACAAACCACTGTGTGCCTGGTGGCAGACTACTGGGCACATGTCCAAGGCAAGAAACGGTCACTGAAACACAGCACCAGTCAAACGGGAAGGACGCACTCCCTATGGAGTCCCTCCCCGACCTGGCTGGGTTTGATCAAAGTAGCTCCAGGATAGAGAAAGAAAAGTGGTTACATTCTGGAGACTAAGAGAGTATTTCAGGAACATGGAATTCTCCCTCACCTGGCACCTGGCGGTCGAAGACACAGCAGCCATTCCCTCGCGTGCGCCCTCCTCGTGGAGAGGAGCCGAGTCCCAATGAGGCAAAGCTGTGGGGGCGGGGGGAAGAGGGTATGAGGGAAGACCAGTCTTGTTTTGTAGTTTTGTGACCCATGAAGCAAGAAATTTTCCACACGCCAGTGAGTTATGTACCCACCCTCATTCTCAACACCCTACAAAAAGGGAAGGCAAAGAAAACAAGGCCAAGAGCAAGCCGGCTCCACCCTGGCATTAGAGCCGAAGGCCGTGGGTACCGCTGCTGAGAACACAGGATGGCGCTTGTTCTGCCGTCATCCCAGAGGCAAACGTCTATTCCTGGCAGTCAATGGCATGCTAAGGATCACACTGTCTTTATAAATTTACACTCAATATTGTTCGGAATGATTACTAGACAAAAAGTGTTAAGAAATTTTATAACTGACTATATAGCTAAGTCATGTCAAGTAAATACCCACAGCGTCTTCAAGGGAAAACTGGCCCATTCACAGCAATACCCTGTGTGAAAGGAGCAGCCCTTGGGCAGCCATGATTTATTCCACGTGACCGTGCACCACACTCCTGGAGACACACTGATAAGGCCACAGATGGGCAATGCACAGGCTGAGCAGTGGACTAACATGCGACCTGGTTTGAAAAGATGACATCCGTTCATCCTCAGGACTGTGAACTAAGAAATCTCAGGACAACTAGTGATGTGCTGAAAGGGTATCAAGAGGACACAGGGATACAGAAGTAGCCACAAGGGTCAGGGGAGCCAGAGCTACCAGGAAGCAGAGCCTGTGAGGATGTGAGAGGCATGACGCAAAGACAGGATGTAACAGACTAAACAGGCAGGCACATGGTGGTGAAGCGCTGAAGCCGACACCCAGGGATTCCTGGCTCTGAGGCCCCTGTTCACCTAGTACCACCCGGGACCACAATTTACATGTAGACCAACCTTACTTATTCTTAGATTTCCATAAGACTCTAACCCTCTTAGTCTTTGTGTGAATCTTTATCACTAAATTCCCTTTACTTGAGTTAACTGAGTACATCTCAGTTTTTCACAATTAAGAGTCTAAATAAGACACAGTTAAATCAAGCATCTTGGGGATTCATGAGTAGGGTGTGGAGACTGTGTGGTCCTGAGAAGGAGGAAAAGTGTGTCTGAGGCTCATTGTCTACTGTGCTGCAGTCAAGGGACTGTATTCACTGAACTTTGTTATTCATTCATCCGTCTACCCAACCAACATTTATTCAGCACCAGCTATTTATACCAAAGCCAAAAAAAATTGACACCGCCCTTGTCTTCCAAAAGCTTATAAGCTACCACATAGAACAAACAAGAAATCAAGTTAATATCTTATAACAGGATGGATACATGCTCTAAAGAGATGCATGTGCACAGCAAACCAGGAGAGCACACCAGAGGCTTGTCTACCCAGGCGGGAGGGACGGAGGAACACTGCAGGTTTCTTGGCAGAAGTGGGACTTAAGATAAGTTTTGATTTGAGGGAGGCAGTGGGACATTCTAGTGGAACTTGATGAAAAACATCCAGTTTTCCAAAAACAAGGAGGCAGGTCTAGCCAGGGAAAGGATGAACAACTGTAGTGAGTTTAGAATGGTGACGTCTAGGTTGTGAGCAGTGCTGTCGGGAGAGACGAGAGAAGAGGCAGGCAGGGCCCAGCTAGATCAAGGCCAGCTCCACACGGTCCTATTCCCAGTGGTACGGGGACCACAGAAGGATTTAAGCATGGAAGGGTCACCACCAGATTTGTGTTTTAGAAAGATCACTGCAATGTCCATCAAAGGCCTTGAAACACGTACCCTTCGACCCAGCAATTCCCTCCTTGGAGTTTTCCCTAAGGATAAAAGAAAGAACACATGTAGAGCTTTTTAATAATCATTGTTAATATTGACCTTTATAAAGTGTTATGTGAGGTGACCTCTTAATGACTCTACATGTATCATCTCGTTTAATTCTCACAATACATTGTAAGATTTGAGATAGCCTAAGTTTCTAAAATAGGAGATTTGATTAAATAATTTATGGTCCAGTCCATACACAGAATGGAATACCACTGATATTATTACAC